AAACAGAACAAAGCAAATAGGCAGCATTAATGTATCGGAACATGTTACAGCAGATGCAAATAAACCATTTGGTTGGGTATCAAATGGATTAATGTGAATATACTACAGGAAGTTAAACTATAAAAAGAAACCCAAAATGTATTAATTACAATGAATTTGAAGTTGTATGTAAATTACAGGTTGACATTGCCATGATTGTGATGATGATAATAATGGGGAATTAGGAATCAGGTCCAGACCCATCAAGGGATACCTGAATGGAGAGATACGAGTATTTGAATGTTCAAAGATTAGCAGTGCACATAGTATATCCATCTTTAAAGTTGGTTGGATGTTGTATAAAGAATCATAAGTTCAAGTGTTATAGAAGTAAATTTCAATGGCATTTTTTCTTTTTGAAATCATGATATGCAACGATTTCAATGTTAATTAATTGTCAATTTTCATATGCTTAATTAGTGTCCATTAATTATGTTGGTGGCTTTAAATAGAACCCTTGAGCTTTGATTCATAAGTGGACCCTTGAATTGACAAGACCTGTAACCAGCACATACAATAGGGTCCAGGTCTGTCTGGTTTAATGTTTTGAAAAATTTACCCAGACACATACATCATCAACTAGAAAGCTGTGCCAGGTCAATTGTCAGCCAGTTGGTTCAATCTCTAACTTGCAAAAGCCACCCAAAACTGCTGGGAAGCGCAAAGAAAGGTGTCTGGTTTGTGGTTCATTAGGTTGACCAAGTGGTTCAACCATGGTTTTAAAACATTCATCTGGATATACATGGACCAGACTTTTTTTTTTCTGATACCGAGGAACTCGAGGTGGGGCAATGAGGAGAGTGCACATCACATGAGGCCGATTACTGACCATACCACGGAGAGTCTGCGTAACAATTGATCTGATCCCGTGCCTCGTATGTGGGACCATCTGATTAATTGACACCCATAAACCCTATTTACTATTACTGGCACAAAGACCTGTCTTAGCTTTTGTGGTTTGGTAGTTTAGGGTACCCTACTGTTAGAGACTCAATTCAGCCTTAATCCTAACTATATAGGGTACCCTATTTGCATGCGCGAATATAATGTTTTGGGAGTAGGGATGTGTCAATATAAAACGAATCCAATTTTGCATTTGTATGAACCGTTTTAGGTTTTGTATTTTTGTATTTACATTTTATTTGTATTATTTTCAAATGAAGCTTAAGATATCCGAATTTTTTATTTTTCCCATATAGACTACGGCTTCATTTGGCACGTTTTTTTGTACGGACTGTCGACTTTTAGAAGCCAGCCTGTGTTTTAGTCTAAAAGACACAAGAAGCCCATTTCGTGCTATTTTCGGGGTTGCAAATGGAGCTTTTCACCTTTTTTTTTTTTCAGTTCGTCTTCACGCGGAAAGACGCATCTTAACCAAATGATCTTCAAGTTACTGAGATATTGATGCAAAAGCTCACATCATCTTTTAACTGTTAGAACTTCAAGAAGATTTTTCAAAAAAGACTTGCCAAACAACCCCTACATTTCTTTGGTCTTCTCAATTTCTTTTTTAGGGTTGCTACTTTTTCTTTAGGTTGTGTTTGGTTGCAGTGTAATTCTATTTGCACTAGTGTAAATGCATGAGAGTACAAATGTAACAAATGCAAATTCTTGTTTAATTTTCTTTTGGATTTTACTTTATTCTGCTTTATGTCTTAATTTACTTCATTTATATGTAATCAAACAAAATAAGTTAAAATTTGAAACAAAAATAGATCAGAATTTATATTCAAATCGTTTGCATTACCATGGTTTTGCATCAATGCAAATTTATTTGCATTGCAACCAGCCTTAGTAAACATAAAAGAAATTCTACGATGGAAGAACATATTTTGTTGCACCGATACCATCAAAATGTCAATTGATTTCCAAAGGAATTCCAAATCTGCACCTTAAAATGTGAAATATATTACAGAATCTATATCACATAAACACAAGATGAAGATCACAATGTTCATGTTGTAACATTTAGATTTCAAGGTATCTGGCAATACAAGTACAAGAACATGTTTCTGTATCATAGAATGGTGATATATAAAAGGAAACTAACAAACACAAAAGGCTGTTCACAACCCACTTAAGACCTATGTATGTGCTATGAATTTGTCTTTTTTCTTTCGAATGCAATAATTGACATTAAGTAAGTTGTTTCGTAATGAATTTAAATCCAATATTTGATATCAATAATCACAAAGTTTGCCATCTAATTTAGAAAATTAAGTTATTTGTCATATTCAAATAAAATAAACATATATAGACATTTAACAGTTAATTAGAGATTATAAATTTTAAGTAACTGCATCCTAACATTTATTTTATAATGAGACAAATCACCTTGAAGAGTAAATTTAACCTTATCAGCATGATCAAATGACCTATTTGTGGTAACTTAATAAAATGGGAACAATTAGGGGTGTCAATGGACCGGTTTTAGATTAGATCCAATCCAGTTCAAATCTTATTAAATCGGATTTGGACGGTTCATTATAATTATTGGATTGGGCCAATTTAAAATAAATTGGTTTATATTCTTATCGGTTTGAATTGGACCTAAACCAAATTCCCAATAATCCGATCATGAGGCCAAACCTTTGTCCAATTTGAAATCGACCAAACTGAAGTTGGCATCAAAACACTTTTACGTAAGGTATTTTTACAAAAGCACTTCTATAAAAATGCTTTTACACGAAAACATTTTTATAAAAGTATTTTTGTAAAACCACTTTCACAAAAGTAATTTTATGAAAAGTACTTTTATGAAAGCACTTTAATAAAATCACTTTTACGAAAGCAATTTTATAAAAGTACTTTTATGGAAGTACTTTTATAAAATGTACTTTTGTAAAAGTGATTTCATACAAAAACACTTTTACAAAAAAACACTTTTATCAAAGTACTTTTATGAAAGCATTTTTACGAAATATTTTTATAAAACACTTTTACGAAAGTACTTTTATTTATTCACTTTGAATTGGATTGGACCCAATCTGATCCGTTTGCAGTTTAATTGGACTGGATTGGATTGCAACAAATGTTGTATTCTTTTATATATTTTTTGGATTTCTCATGTCATGTTGGTTTTTGATTCAATTTGGATTAGATTGAACCTAATACGGTCCATTTGTATATTATTTAGATTGGATTGGACTTTGTTTGTATGGATTTGGACTGAATTTGGTCCAATCCATTAGTAAATGGACCAATATTGGATTGGACCAAATCTAGTCCAATTGACAGCACTAGGCACAACAATGGAATTTATATCTTGAATAATCTTACATTATGGCTAAAGGCATAATCTTGGGTAAATCCCTTAAACCTCCCCTCAACTTTGACATACCCTTGTTTTTTTTTTTAAAACATCGAACCGATCAATTCGATTAACCGATTTTTCAGTTCGGTTTCAATCGGTTTTTTCAGGTTTTTTTACTCACCCCTTAATAGGCACGGAGAATTTGCTTCAATTGAATTTGTTAATTCATCAAAATGGTAATTCGTATTTCTTGTACCAGTATTAAAATTAAGTTAAAAGAGTCTGACCAAGAGAAGATAAAGGAATTAAGGAAGTGGTCTGGACACACCCTGTTTACTATAATAGTTGAAAGAGTATTTTTTAGCTAGCTAATAGTTAAAGATTTCTCCTATTTATTAGGAATCAAGGTAAGCCAAATTAACCACTTCTATTGGTTGGTTTATAAGACTCCTTGGGTTTTTTCACTGAACAGTAAATACTGTTCCTCAAGAAAAATATTGCCTTTCCAAAGCTCCACATCCTGGACTGTCGATAAGGCTCTCCCCGCATGATATGTTTATTCACAGAGACTCGATACAACAGTGCCATGCAAAGACGCACATATACATTAACAGATTTTCAGGGTTAAATTTTGGAAGAGTGCAAAACTTCATATATTATATTTTTAAATCTTGTACTTGCACTGTATATATTTTTATTTATATTTTTCTCAAATTAAACTTTAATATGAACAGCCGAAGTTTCCTCCAAATGCATATAAGAGAAGATAGAGGACAAACCAAATAGAGTAAAATCAGTGGAATTGATGAATTTAAAAATGACATCATTAACGGATTTCCTAACTTTGGTTGTTGCCTTTTTGCTATTGTAATTTTTTTTATATTAAATTAATCAGAAATGTCTAAATTGCGAATGCCTCCTCCTTTTAACATTAGTAGAGATCTTGATTATGTTTTTACAAGTAATCAGCATATTTAAGATTTGGTTATTTGCTTGATCAACCAAAAAATATGTAGAAAAAAATTTTGGAATATCCAATCGAGGGTTCCTATATGATCAGATAACAAAGAAATTGTAGTTGTTTTTTGACCTATTGATTGGTTTGTGTGGATGAATGTTTATGTATGTGTAAACTTGCAAACTTATTTTTCTTCTTTATTTGTTTTTTGAAATTAATAAAGGGTATAAAAGACAAACTTTATGGTGTAGCCGAGTAGGAGAGAAACGACGGTGGGGGGATTGGTCTAGTTCGTTGTATTCAGTTGTCAAATTTGTGATCCATGAACATAATAAGACGCTTTATTCCTTGTATTTGAGTCCAGAAGAAAACGTACACAGTTCTCGATTCCTTCAGACAAGACAGTCCTCGCCTCTTTTCAGGTCCTCGGAATTGGCGAAGGGGCAGAGAGAGAGAGAGAGAGAGAGAGAGTTCTGAAGTGAAGTTGGACCCCTCTCGGCTTTCCCTCTCTGTCTGAATGACAAGTTGCATAAATTATATCTAAGTAATGTTAAATACAAGCTACGTAGATAAGGGTACAAAGAAGCTAAGAGATTATTCTAAGGTTATACTTCCATACAGAGAGAAGAGCTTCATGTATTTAAGTTAAATTCCAATTTGCCAACAATCTTTATCTATATATTATAAATGGGAGAGGCAAAGCTGAATTGCCTTTGATACTAAATTGGTCCTGCTTGTCAGCACATGCATTCCACTTTCCACTGCAAAGTCGACTTTGGACCCAAAAATTTTACCTCATCAACAAGAAAAGCACAGCCCACATCCCATAAAACTTCATACATCCTCCCTCAGTCTCCACATAACGAAATTACAAACCATACTGAATATATAACGGAGTGGAATAGATAGTTTATATGCATTATCAACACAGTTTTTGAGTTTTGACTCCACTTCCACCCCAGGAGTCAAATTCCCCAGTTCATCTTTCTTATCTCTTTCATCTTCAATTCAGAAGTGACACAAATCCATATCTTCTTTGTACAAATGATTCCCTCTACAAAAGTTGTTCTTCCCTGCTGATCTTGCCGCTCTTCAAGCGCAGCAAGCCATCTTCATTCTAATACTAGCTCTACTAGGTTAACAGCCGCAGCTTGGAGAGGGAAAATTAAAGATGAGAGCAGGAGGTTGTACAGTGCAACAGGCCCTAACAGCCGAGGCTGCAACTGTGGTTAAACAAGCGGTTAACCTCGCAAGAAGGCGAGGCCATGCCCAAGTGACTCCCCTCCATGTAGCCAACACCATGCTTGCCTCCTCCACCGGCCTTCTTCGAACAGCTTGCCTTCAATCTCATTCCCACCCTCTCCAGTGCAAAGCCCTAGAACTCTGCTTCAATGTCGCCCTCAACCGCTTGCCGGCCTCCACTTCTAGTCCTATGTTGGCCCCTCAATCCCACCACCCTTCTCTCTCTAATGCGTTGGTTGCCGCCTTCAAGCGGGCGCAGGCCCATCAGCGCCGTGGTTCCATTGAGAACCAGCAACAACCCTTACTTGCTGTGAAAGTAGAGATAGAACAACTCATAATCTCAATCCTAGATGACCCCAGTGTTAGTAGAGTGATGAGAGAAGCCGGCTTCTCTAGTACCCAAGTGAAAAACAATGTGGAACAAGCCGTCTCCCTAGAGATCTGCTCTCAGAATCCTTCTCTTAGTATTAAGTCCAAGGAAAGTAACTCTCTTGCCCTTGGCAGTACTGTCTCCCAATCTCCTTTGAGTCAGTTTGGACCCAAAGTCAGCAAACCAAGTCTGTTGGATCAAGTCAGGAGTGAGGATGTGGTGAGCGTGCTCGAGACTCTGATGAATAGAAGAAGGAGAAGTACAGTTATTGTAGGAGAATGTCTAGCTACCACAGAAGCTGTTGTTAGAGCGGTGATGGATAAGATTGACAAGGGAGATGTTCCTGAAGCTCTAAGAGATGTTAAGTTTGTATGTCTTCCTCTCTATCCTTTTGGGAATCTCTCCAAGGAGGAGGTTGAACAGAAGCTTGGGGAACTTAAGTGCCTTGTCAAAACTTGTGTCAGTAGAGGAGTTGTATTGTATCTGGGTGACCTTAAATGGGCTGCTGAGGTTGGGGCGGGTTCTGGTGAGCAAGGAAGGAACTACTACTGGCCTCTGGAGCACATGGTTATGGAGATTGGAAGGTTGTTATGCGGAATTGGAGAGAGTGGTAGGTTATGGCTTATGGGGATTGCGACCTTCCAGACTTACATGAGGTGCAGAATTGGCAACCCTTCCTTGGAAACTATCTGGGGGCTTCATCCTCTTACAATTCCTGTAGGTGGCTTGGGCTTGAGTCTTAGCTCTGACAGGTAAAAATTCATAAGTAATTCTCAAGGTTGAATTTTGAACCATTTTGTTACAGTTTATCTTTCTCTCCTCTTTTATTACAAAATTTTGGGGTTTTAGTTCTTAGCTAACTGGAAGAAACTTGTAGCTTTTGAATTTTCCAATGCTAGGTTTCTGATTTGGGTATTGTTTTCTTATCTTCACTGAGTTCTATAACTCAAAAAACCTTGCTATTTGTTTTGCAAAAGTCTTTTCCTTCATTTGGAATTAAGGAGTTCAATTGCTTTACAGACTTTACCTTTCCTTTATTTGCCTTTTATCTTTTGAGTCATACGAAAAAAAAAAAAGTAATTCGAGTCATTTGCTTGAACAATTCCATAGCGTGTGATCTTGTTGAAGTAAACTATGCTATAAATGATATGGGGATTTTAATAAATAGTTTCCAATGCCAATCTCATCTCAGGTGGCTGACCAAATGTTCTTATTTTCTCTCTCAGTGATTCACAAGGTCAATTCAGAAGCAAGAGAATTGAAGATGGGTCCGGTTCCCCCCTGCTTAAAGGTAGAGTGGAGAAGCAGCTCAGTTGTTGCAGTGATTGCTCAGCAAAATTCGAGATGGAAGTTCGAAGCTTAACAAGCAGTTCTCACAACCAAGACTCAAGCTTACCTTCATGGCTCCAACAGTACAAGGACGAGAACAAAAGATTGACTGGTAACCATCAGGTAAATTTTATCTTCACTACTTAAAGCTAGTAACGACGATTATTCCTGCAATTTTGAACTTTAAGGTCCTCATTTTTGTTTCTTCTCTATATTCTATCAGGACTCCATCCATGTCAAAGATCTCTGCAAGAAATGGAACTCAATTTGCAGCTCAATCCATAACCACCAAAGCCTACCTGAGAGAACTCTAAATTTCGCTTCAATCTCACCTTCTTCCTCTACTTCGGTCTCTTCTCATGAACGAGACTACTCTCACTTGCACCAAACCACTCAAGGCTGGCCTATCGTTGTTGAACCCAAAAGGTCATGTAGGGAACACCATTTTTGGATCTCTGACACCACAGTTGACGAAGGTTTTGAGCCCAATCTGAGAATGTATTTTCCAGATCATAGGGAGCCAAAGCCATCATCTTTATCTAATCCCAACTCTGGCCCTAACTCCACCCCTACTTCAGCTTCTTCTAGCGATGCAATGGAAATGGAGTGCTTGCATAGATTCAAAGAACTTAATGCTGAGAACCTGAAGACCCTATGTAATGCATTGGAACAGAAGGTTCCATGGCAGAAAGACATAATTCCTGAAATTGCAAGTACAATCCTTCGGTGCAGATCCGGAATGATAAGAAGAAAGGGAAAGTTTAGAAACAGTGAGACCAAAGAAAATACTTGGCTGTTTTTCCAGGGTGTTGATGTGGAAGGAAAAGAAAAGATTGCTAGAGAGTTGGCTGGCCTTGTTTTTGGCTCTCAGAACTGCTTTATTTCGATCGGTCTGAGCAGTTTCTCATCAACGAGGGCCGATTCAACGGATGATTTTAGGAACAAAAGATCTAGAGATGAATCGAGTTGCAGCTATCTCGAGAGATTCGCTGAAGCAGTTTCCAGTAATCCACACCGTGTCTTTTTGATGGAAGACGTAGAGCTGGTTGACTACTGTTCTCAGTTGGGCATTAAGAAGGCAATTGAGGGAGGAAGAATTACAAATTCCAATGGGGAAGAAGTACGTCTGAAAGATGCCATTATCATTTTGAATTGTGAAAGCTTCAGCTCCAGATCGAGAGCCTGCTCTCCACCCGTCAAGCAGAAATCCAGCGAGCCAGAAGAAAAGAAGACTGCAGGCGATTGCGATAACGAAACAAGCCCGAGTGTCTCCTTGGATTTGAATCTATCTGCCGAAGAAGATAATGTCAACGATCAGTCCATTGACGACATTGGACTTCTCGAATCAGTTGATAGACGGATTATTTTCAAATTACAGGAGCTGTGAACAGAACCCCATGTAGACATTTTCTTCGGCTTGTAGTTTTGTTTCTTTACCAGAGACTTAGGTTCTCTTTTTGGTCTTTTTAATATATATATTTTCATGCCGGTTCCTGCAACATTTCCTTTGGATATGGATATGGAAGAAAGAATTGGCCATGTAGAATCACTTGTATATATTATCATCATCTTCTTCGTGTAATTGGTTATTTCTGGCTTTCCCATTCTTTTCTTGTTTCTTTTTTGGGTTTCTGATTTGAATCAAATGGCCGTTTATTCCATTGTTTTGTATTTTTGTACTACTTCTCCACAGGAAGCTATATATTTGTTCGATTAACCATTTATTTTATGTGATTAAGGCACTACTGATAGAATAATTTCTTCCCTTTGTTTGTTGATTTCTTTATTCCTTTTATTATGAGGGTTTTGGATTCTACAAAAATAGAGGATTTTTTGGTTTACATGGAATGCATGGATCCATAGGTCTTCATGCAGCTATCAACTAATCAGACATCACGTACAGACTCTGAGACTCACACACAGAGACTTGTACTACTTATAATCGTCTTAACGCCTATATTAATATTATATGTATGTAAGTCTGCGTATACATGCATATATTATTGTATTAGTACGTGAGTGGGAGATTTCAGCCCCAAATATTGGGTTTCAAGAATACTAGCCACGTGGCATTACATGTGTTACACGTGCAATCAGAAATACTGAGAGAACTGGGTTTTAGAGTGGAACACAAAAGGGTTACATAGAGTGGAAAGACAAGTGGCGGAAATATATAATTGGGAATAGAAAGAAATTATAAGGTTTGTAAGTGAAAAATTGCAGGAAAAAAAAAGTTAAGTGATGAAAAGTGAAGGTGTGAGACTGAAGAAAGGGAGAGAACTGAAACTCTATCTTTTATTTAGGGTACTAGGGTTAGACATACACATCGTGGAATATGATTTTTACAAGTGTACTACTCTTATCTCTTGCACTGGTTCCTTCTCATATTCCATCAGTGGTCTTCTGGTTGGAATTGCTTGATTAGGGTTAGCATCATAGAATTGGGGCCTTACTTTATTATCCTGTTTTAGGTAATTAAGGTCCATATCTCAATGTCCAAGGTCTTTGGATATGCAACATACTGTTTAAAATTAATAGATATATATTCTACTTCATCTGTAACTATACATTAGAAATGACTCCATTAAGATGAATTATCAGCTGTCAACCTCAAATAGCTGTTCTTGTAACTTACGAGGAGTTTAAAGTCGAATTAAAGCTTTGGACTTTGGATAAGTGATTGGACATAAGGTTGGTGGGCCCTAGAAATTTAGATGCCCATGATTCAAAGGAACATCGATCATAAAGATAATCTCAATAAGATGTCATCAAGGTGGATGGATGGAGAACTTTTCTAACAGGCCAATGATGTACATATGTACTATATAGAGTATGAAACACTTTATCTAAGTCAATAATCTTATAACTATAGTGATATATAGCCATCATAAATGGATCAGAAATTGATAATTCCCAGTTTCTTTTCTCATTCTTCATGCGGGTTTTGGGTAGTAGGGCCTCTTCTTTAATTGGCTTACTATTTTGTTCACCAATCTGCACTGTGCAAGAAAGGTTGCTATTTATGGCATAGACTGTACTTCGTTCTCTTGAATCAATCAAACAGCTGATCCTAGTTGATGGTTAAAAATCATGATAACCTTAAAACATGTAAAGACATTTCATGGGTTTTTCTTTTTTTTTTTTTTTTTTTTTTTTATAGTAGGTTCTACATTATCTAGAAATCATTTCTTTCCTTTCAGGAAAATCTATCCCATGTTATGGAAGGCACATCAGAATTGGTTCTTCTCCAACCCCTAAAAATTATAATATACAGAAAAGGGAGATGATGAGATTATCATTCAACTTTCTAAAACAAACAGGTCCCCACTAACAGTATCCCAATGCATAGTTGCATGAGATGAGGACAATCTTATCTGATTGTTATTATTACATTTTATATTCATATATAGAACACAGGCAGTTGGTTTGAAATAGCTGGTCATTATGTGTCCCACTAGTGAAAGCTTCCACTTAATTGGAAGACAATAAACTGGTTTATGGTCATAACATTAGTCCTCTGACTACGGGTTTTGTGTGGACTATTCCCTTAATTAAATTTATTGATCACTTGTAATTATGCGATGATAGCTAGGCATGCAAGTTATTAATTAGATGGGCTGGAAGACAGAAGGGAAAAAAAAAGAAGACATGAACTGCACAACACACAAGAAGTTGAATAAATTAGTAAAGGAAGGTGGGAAACGCACAAAGTAAGATTAAGGTATGATACATAACGTAAGGGTTGTGCAAAGGAGAGGCCACTTTAGAAGAGAAAAGCAAAATCTTCCTTAAGAAATATCAAAAGGCTCTACTTTTCATGCATAGTTATGCGTTTCCAAAAGAATCCCTTTTCCTTCTTTAATTTCATAACCCAAAACATTCTCTCTTTCAAAATTAGTGGTTGGATGGAGATTAAAAATCAAAAGAAAAATCATAGCTAGGCATCTCATCAACTTTTGAAATTAAAGATGTTGTTACTTTAGAATCATAAAAAGATGATTATCTCAAACATCTTTCAAAATTGAAACCCTAATGTGTAAGTAGGGAATTTGTCGCTTGTGGCTTTTGAAAAGATTAGGAATTTTATTGGGAATTAATACACTATTTGAAGCACAAAGTTGGGGTTGGATGAGTTGCTCCTGTCTCTCTCACATGCATTTTTTTTTTTGCCAATTTTCTTTTTCTTTTTTATTTTTTTTCCTTTTACTTTGTTTCAAACTTCCCATCTTAAATTTATTCTCCCTTACTTTTTGGGTTTACCTCTTCTTAACTCCTTTTTTTTTCCCGGACTCAGTTTAAAAGGAACAAGCCTCTATGCTTAGACTGCTTTTCTTTCTTTTTTGCCAATTTTCTTTTTATTTTTTATTTTTTTTTCCTTTTACCGTTAAATACTGTCTCTCCCCTCCACCTAGGGAAAATGGGCTCGTTCCATGCATGCAGTTTATAAACCAATTTTTTTTATTTATTTTGAATAATTAAATTAGGTTTAATTTATAATTTAAAAGTCTTTAAATTTACTCTTTTATTTCAATAAGAAAATTGAATTGCTAAGATAAATATACACCCCATATCCTTTGGAGTGGAAACTTTTTTATGGATAGTCATGTATGTAAAATTAGCCTAAGGTAGATATTTTTTTTTTCTACGAGCAACCATCTGTCTAAGGTTATCACCTTTTCTCCGAGTGGGTAGATACATATCTAAGGAAAAAAGATTCTATTTGAAAACGGAAAGTACCTACTTCTTGAATACTGTTTTTTGAAAAAAAAAAGATTGAAAAAAGTGGCGAGATGTTTGGATTGTTGGAAAGTGGTGAAGTTTCTGTTCGAATAACTCCGGCGGGTATTCAAGTGCACGGTGGTGGCCTGAGGGTCAAAGAGAAGGAGTGTTAGTGCACCAGTCCAAGAGGACTCTCGTTGTTGTGAAGATAAGACTTAAGCTGGATAAATCCTTGATAAACTAGCACTGTAATCCTAGATAAGCCAGGACTGGTACCAATATTTTTGTATAAATCAAACTCCTAGTAATCATGTACAAACATAACTCTGAATGTATATATATTGAATACATAACAGCAATACAAACCATCGACTTCTTGCTGTACAATACATTCTCTTTCATCTTGTCTCTCTTCTCTTCAGTTTATCTTCTTTATTTTTAATCGCACTTGGTATCAGAGCCAATGGCAACAGAAAGCTCTTCAACCAACATTCCATCGACAACCATCTCTCCCAATACATTAACTAGCCTCTCCTCTTCTCTCAATTTTTCGAACACCACTCACTTCTACCCATAAAACTTAATAGAGAAAATTATGTTGCATGGAGAGCTCACTTTGTATCAGTTTTCAGAACCCATAAAATTGAAGGGAATGTGAATGAAACCCTCCCATGTCCACCATAGTTGTCAAGGCGTCGCCTAGGCGACTAGGCGCCTTTTGCTGGGCGCCTCGCCCAAATGCCTTGACTTTTAGCAACTAGGCGCCCGCCTAGGCGATTGAGCGCCTGCCTAGGCGACAAAAATGACAAGACGGGTGCCTTTTACAATATCATTTATATTGTTGTATCTTATTAATGTATGTGTTAATACATTTTATTATATGCTATATATCAATTATACTTTGTTTTAATGTTTTACTATTGAAATTTAAAAGACCAAAGGGTTTTGAGAAGAGAAAAAGAAAGAATAGAATAACAAAGTTATTTTTTCTATTCTCTCTCTCTAATTAAATAAAACAGAAACTCCATCCTTGTTTTTTTTTTCTATTTTACTTTCCATCTTGAATATTTATCATATAAAGTTGATAACCATCTTTAGCTGCTAATTAATATGAATTTTCTCTATTAAATACTTATTATAGTAGTATTATTTTTGAAATTAATATATGTAAAAGATTTTTATCTTTTAGATGTGATGATTTGCCACATTTTTAGAGGAATTTTAATGTTATTAATAAAGAGAATTGTTATTTTTTCAATTAACATACATGCTGAATGGTACATAGAAACTAGTTAAAAGTCAGACTTTTATATTATAAAATTTTTATCGCCTAGGCGACTAGGTGCTCCAATGTCGCTTAGAATCGCCTAGATGCCTTGAAAACTATGATGTCCACCATAAACATTGTTCTCTGGAGGGCAACAAACTCCAAATCTCAAATACTCCATTTGGATCAAACTTGACCAAGTTATCATGAGCTGGATTATCTCCTCCCTCATTGAAAGCACCATCAATTAAATCATCAGTCTCAAAACATCAAGGGATGTTTGGAAGGCACTAGAAGAAGCCTTCGCATCCCCCTCACCAGTCCGGCTTCTCCAACTACGCATGCAGCTCATGAACATTAAGAAAGGCTCTTCCTCCATCATCAAATATATACAGAAGATAAAGAACATAACAGAGCAGTTGGCTGCCGCGTCTGAACCTATCCACAAGCAGGATCTTCTTCTCAACACTCTTTGTGGACTCAGACCTGACTATGATCCATTCATTACTTCGGTAACAACTAAATATGATTTCTCTTATCTTACTCTATTTGATCTATTTGGACAACTGTTAAATCATGAAGCATGGCTCTCACACCATAATTCCTCTCTTATTGGTGACTCTTCTACCAATATTGCAAGCAAACAATCTGCCTCTCAATAGGGGTCGTGGAAGG